TAAACTTGGCGTCATTTTCTGATATCACCTCTTTTATAGACAGAATATGTAGCAAATTTTTATTTAATATATACAACTTTTTTTAAAAGTACAATTTTTTTTGGAAAGGTTTTTTTGTGAGAAAAACTTTTTTTTTAATATAATATATTTTTGAAAGTACAGTTCTTTGAAAAGGTTTTTTATGAGGAAAACTTTTTTAAAAAACAATTTTTTGGAAAGGTTTTTTATGAGGAAAACTTTTTTTAATATAACAAGGCGTGTACTTGGCGCCCTTTTTTTACCTTTTTTAAAAAAAAGGTTTTTTTGTGAGATATATTGTACATCAATATATACAACTCCTTTTAGTCATCTTCAGTTGTTATACGCTTTTTTACTATATTATTTCTCTTTAACATGCGCATTCAGAAACTCATAAGATTGTCCAATATTTCGTTTAAAAGCTTCGTTCATAAAATAATGTTTAGATATATTTCGATTATAATGAGTACTGTTTTGATAATAATTTAACATTAAAACATTAACATTAACTTAATATACGATATTTAAATATATTTAAATCAAAAAGAGGCATACGCGCATTAAACTAATTTATAGATATGCATGGTTATATTAATAATGCAATAAAATTTCAGAAATATCCGATTATCGGCTGTGTTCATTATTAATGTATGTTAACCAATGCGTGTATTTGCGTAACAAAATTCAACGCATGCAAATTATTGTTGCCTCGTGCATTGTTGCATAAGCATTAAATTATTAGTCAATAAATGTACTTGTAACGCGTTTCCATATCTCGATATCTCAGAAGAATGATATTTGAAAAGGCGTCTTTCTCGCTGATTTTGGTCTAGACGATCTCTGCGGGATATTTTTAGATAGCTACACGTGCCTCCCCAGGAAGTCGTTAAGAAAGAAATCTCCGCGGAGTTGGCCAAGCAGATAAAGATCCCGCTTTAACTTCTTAATGTACATAACGTAAAAATCGCGGAACATTGTCTTTCACTTTGACGCAAAACTTTGCTAAAAACTTAAAATCTGATATTTTTTGTCATTTTAATATTATTTTTGCACGCTGGCAATTTTGATAGGTCGGAGATTCTTTTTATATATTACGCTATATATTTATATGTTTACGTAATATTTTACAACATTTATTTAAGCAATAAAATTTTATTTTAATAAAA